GGATTTTGTTCTTTATGGCTGAATGATATATATGCCATATATTCTATATCCATTCATCTATTGTCAGGCAGCTAAGCTGATTTTATATCTTGTCTATTGTGAATAGTACTGCAGGATTTGCAGGTATGCCGCATACCTTGGGATAGATATTCAGGAGTGGGATGGCTGGATCATATTGTAGTTCTATTTTTCGTTTTTAGAGGAACCTCCATACTGTTTTTCATAATGGCTGGATAATTCACTTACATGCCAACAGTATATAAGGGTTCCAGCATTTGTTATTTGTGTACTTTTTATAATGGCCATTCTGACTAGAGTAAGATAGACTCTCATTGCAGTTTTGATTTGCATTCCCCTGATGGCTAAACAAATTGAGCATTTTTCATGTATTTTTTGGCCAGTTGTGGTCATCATCATCATCATCGTCTTCCTCCTCTTTCTCCTCCCTTTCCTTCTTTTCTTTCTTCCTGACCCCTCTTTTCTTTTTGGTACTGGGAATTTACCCAGGTGTGCTTTAAAAATGATCTACATCCCCACTTCATTTTTTTTAGTTTTTATTTTGAGACAGGGCCTCCCTATGTTGCTGAGGGTTTCATTAAGTTGCAGAGGCTGGACTCAAACTTGGAATCTTTCTATCTCAGCCTCTCGAGTCACTGGGTTTACAGGCATGCACCACTGAGCCTGGCTTATATTTCCTTTGTGAATTATCTGTTCAGATTATTTGCCCATTTTTGATTGGATTACTTATTTCTTGTTAAGTTTTTTGAGTTCTTTGTGCTGTCTGGATATTATCCTCTGTCAGATGAATAGCTGCCAAAGATTTTTCTCCCATTTCTATAGAGTTGTCTCTTCACTCTTTACTATGTGAAGCTTTTCAACTCGATATAGTCATGTTTGTCAGTTCTTACTTTTGTTTTCTTTGCTTTTGTAGTCCTAGCCAGAAAATTGTTGCCTGTGCCAATATCTTGAAATGTTTCCCTAGGTTTTCCTCTAGTAGTTTTAGAGTTTCAGATCTTACATGAAGATCCTCCAGTTATTTTTTTTAAACTTTATTTTATTTATTTATTTTTGTACGTGGTTCTGAGGATCAAATCCAGTGCCTCACACGTACTAGACAAGCTCTGCTCCTGCAATACTGATTGTCGTTATCTTTGTGTTCCTAAGATAGGACATATTTGTTGGGCATGGTGGTACACACCTGTAATCCCAGCTACTTGGGAGGCTGAGGCAGGAGGATCACAAGTTTAAAGGCAGCCTCATCAACTTAGTGAAGCCCCATCTCAAAATAAAAGGGCCTGGGGTATAGGTCAGAACACCCCTGGGTTCAATCCCCAGTACCACCAAAGAACCAACCAACCAAAATCAAAACCAAAACGAAAACCACTTTCATGGACATTTGCTGGATTTCATTATCATTATAATTGTTTTTTATATGCCTGATTTTTCTGTTGACTAATCAGCAGGACCCCTTACTTTCTCCTCTTGCTTTTTTCCCCTTTTCCTTTCAATCTCTTGCCTCTGCTATGCTCACAACCTCAACTGGACCATTTCTCAGGCAGGAGCTTCTTCTGCATTGGCAAAGAAAGCCACCAGAAGCTCTAGATATGATGGTTTTTATACTTGCAAAGTCAGGAGGAGAGAGTGCCTTTTCCCTGATAATTCCAAAAGTCCTGGGAAACATTTTAATAAGAACATTTTTATTGGCCAGTCTTTGATCACCTCTTATAACCAGGAGGTAGGGTCAAGCATCTGCACCTTGAATGGTGTGAGGAATGGCCTGAAAGGCAAAGAGGGCTATTTTTGCCAAAGAAGGGGAGGTGGAGGATGTTGGTCAGGCAGAGATCATGTTTCATAGTTCTAATCCAGTCAGTAACATCCTGCATTCTTCTTTTGAGAAATTCCCTATACGTTTTTGTCACATGAGTATTCTTTTGTGCTTATCATATGTATTACAATACCTCACATACTAATTCCTGTTTATTTTCCTAAGGTGTTACATTATGCTGATGAATCTGTTTAGGAAACTATCAAGTAAGTTTTAGTCAAAATCAGAGCAATAAAGAGCCTTCTCTCTCTTTATCTGTTGAATGCCTATTAGGTACTAGAATAAAGAATACAAATGATACCAAAAATGAAAAAGTCTTGAGCTAGAACCTCATGTGTTCTAGTAAGAAAGACTTCAGTGCAAAAAACTGCCCCCTTATAGTTCAGGTTTAATTTAATGTCACTTTTTTTTAGAGAAACTTTCTTCTAATTTCAAAGTTAAAAACAATTTCCCTATAATCCTCCCTCCCTCTCCCTCTCCCTCTCCCCTTCCCTCTCCCCCTCCCCCTCCCTCCCTCCCTCCCTCCTTCTCTTCCCCTCTCCCCTCCCCACCCCTCCATAAGTGTCCCTTTTTGGACTAAGTATTTGATTTCTGTCTTCTCCACTAAATTGCAAACTCCATAAAGGTAGAAGCCTTGTCTGTTTGTTGATGGATTTGTCTCCAATATGTAATATAATGCCTAGTTAGACGTTTTAGTTAACTTTGTGCCACTGTGACCAAAAGACCTGACAAGAACGATGCGAAGGAGGAGAAGTTTATTTTGGCTCATGGATTCAGAGGTTGAGTTCATGGTCAGCTGACTCCACAGCTCTGGGGCCAGGATGGGGCAGAACATCATGGCAGAAGTGCACGACAGAGGAGAGCAGCTCAGGACGTGGCAAGCAGGAAGCAGAGAGGGATTCTACTCACCAAAGACCAACTGTAAACTCCTAGGCACACCTCTAGTGACCTCCCTCCTCTAGCCACACCCCACCTGCCTAGGTACCACCCAGTTAATCTAGATCAGTGGATTAATCCACAGAGTAGGTTACAACTCTCACAGTTCAACCATTTCACCCCTGAACATTCCTGCTTTGTCTCACACATAAGCTTTTGGGGGACACCTCCTATCCAAACCATAACACTAAGTATAGTAAGAGTAAATTCTTTATAAATATTTATTAAATGATATGTGAGCCAAAGGGTGGTTTGATAAACAATTTGATAGAATTTATATGTTTGGGCATATGAAATAATACAGGTAAGGGCCATGGTTCCAATTAGAAGTCTTGGGGAATGCACCTTTAGTCTGGTGTGGTCAATATTCTGTGTACTATGAACTTACTACCTCCCAACATCAAACCCTTTACTCTTCACTCTTAAATTTTCAGAATTCCTTGATCAGAGAGGATGATCCAAGGGTTAACACTTTTCCTATTTTTTTCACTTGTGATTTTGTTTATTTCTAAATACATGCTTTTTTCCCTCAGGGATTTTAGGCCTAGTATTTATTAATAGTTATAGTTTATAGTTTAAACAAAATAAAACCATGTATTTCTGAGTCTTTGTTGTTTCTACAAGATGCGGAGTTGTAAAGCACTATAGTTGATACTTTATTTTTGATTTAGTTATTGAATACCTTTGCAGATGTGTTGTAGTTTGTTATCTGTGACCCCCTCCCCTAGATAGGCTCTGTCTTACTAGAAGGGTATTTGTTAATTCAGGATTTGGCTTTAAACTTTGTCTCAACTGAAAAGCCTAGTCAGTTGACATAGAGTATGGATTCTAGACAAGCCTGGACAATACAAATGAATGATTACCTAATGTAAAATCTTATCTGAGCACCCAAATCATCATTAGTGAATCATATCATAAGCATAAAACATCAGGTTTATCTTTCATTCAGTTTTGGAAATCAGATTAAGTATAAGAATTGCTTTTTATATGGTTTATTTTTTATTGCAGTAGTTCTGGAAATTTTAGGAAAGAGAATTAAAGTACTTTAAAAATAAAATTTCTGAGTAGAATTGAGATTTATTCATTACAAAATAGGATCAGTTGAGTGTTTTGTATACTTTTTTTTTTTTTGCCCTGTACCCCAGACCTGCCGACTTTGTTTTTTAAACATATTTCTATTATTGATAACGTCTTAAAATATCTGGTAGAGTTTAAGCTTGTCTAACTCTAGAGTCAAGTTTTCCCTAAATTATTTAATGAGGTTTCATTTAAGTAGATGTGTTAAGTACTTTTTAAAATTTGGACTTTGTATGGATATTTCAGATTTATAAAAGTATTTTGGCATTCTTTTGGAGCTACTATTCTTTTTGCTATGCTGTGGAGATTTCTGCTTTCCTGGTCCCTGAAATAATCCCATTTTTTTACTGTAACTCAAAATTTCTTTTTTTAATATTTATTTTTTAATTATAGGTGGATACAATATTTTTATTTTATTTTATGTGATGCTAAGGATCGAACCCAGTGCCTCATGCATGCTAGGCAAGCGCTCTACCTCTGAACCACAACCCCAGCCCTCAAGATATCTTGATACATTTTTCTTGTTTGATCTCCTTACTCAGCTGAAACTTTTGCTTTTTAGTGATCTAAGATTTGTTTCTAAAAGTGGTTAATGATCTTGAGAGGACAGACAGGTTAGTCCTTCCTAAAAGAAATATGCTTAATAAAACAGAAATGATGTGTTTACCACTAATATTTTGCCAGACATGCAAATTTGACCTTGAGAAAGCATACACTAGAGATGAAAGATCTTTTACCATGGTTATGAGTGTAAAGAAATTATGAACTCCTAAATATATTGTTTTCTTCCCTGCACTATAATTTCTCTTCCACTTTACAATCTGAATATTTATTTCTGTGCCATTACTATACAGGGATAAATGTAGGGGTTTAGAGAGGATCTTCAAAGTAGAACACTGCTGGTTATTGTGTTCATGACAGGCATGTCCTTCAGTATGAGGTGGAATTGGAAATTAGGAAAATAATGAAATGCCAGAATAAAATAACTAATGCCTGAGAAAGAGTTTAATATTTTTGTTTGACTTAATTTTTTTGTTAAATATGTAAGTTCTTTAATATTAAGAAAATATTGATTTGAGTTTTTAATGTATATCTTATTTTAAAAAAGAGTAGTACATTAATTTCTCAAAATGATCATTACTGTTTTTCCCTATTTCTCCAGAGATATTACATATGAAATATCAGTGGAAGCTATATCAACAATGGTTGTTTTCCTTTCCTGCCAACTCTTCCACAAAGAAATTTTGCGACAGAGCATTAGTCACAAGTATTTGATGCAAGGTCCATGGTATGTTTCTATTTTAAATTTGTCCCTTTTTAAGCTGCATAATTTATATTTGTATTCTTGTCCTTTTACCTAAGTGTGGTCCTGTATCTCCAGTATATTGCTTTTGATTTTTTTTTTTTTTTTTTACTACAACTTTACATCCTTTAGGGTCTAAATTCAATTTTGTATTCAAACTACCCATCTTCCCTGTTTTTCTTGTCCCCTAAATTCATTGCCATCTCTAGCGGTTGCTTTGTAGAATAGAAACCTTCAAAGTGTCTTTCTTTTTTTTTTCCTCCTTCTTCATTTTCAGTGTCTTAGCAGTCATCAAGTCATATTTGTTTGTTCAAATTGTTCTTGTATCTTCTTCTCACTCATCTGTTTGAAACTAAAGTTGTCCCTTGTTATTCACAGGGAATTGGTTTCAGAACCCCCCCTCCCACAGCCCCCCACCAAGGATACCCAAATCCTTGTATGCTCAGGTTCCTTATATAAAATACATACAGCCTATACACATCTTCCTGTATACTTTGAATCATATCCAAATGATTTACATTTTATCATTGAGGAAATAATGACAAGAAAAAATCTCTGTACATGTGTAATACAGATGCATATTTTTTCTGAAATTTTTAATCTGCAATTGGTTGAATGAATAGATAGTAGGGTTTTTGTACTAGTATGGTGTCAGGTACTTAAACTATAATATATTCTTTTACTGATTTTTGTTGTTAATTTTGGAAGCAGTATTTTTAAAATTCCAATAGTACATTCAAGGATCTGTTAATAAATTCAATATAGATTGCAGGAATTGGTGTATTACCAATTAAATAATTGGATATATCGAATACTTTCATGCTTAACAAGTGCAGTCTTTTATTACTATCTTTAAATCCTTGCTCTTCCATAATGATTTCATATTACCACCTTTCTTTAAGTACCAGTACTATATTATGCACTAAATTAATGTCTCACAAATGTTATATTGATTACAGCTAATGTAACTGACTCTCAGTTATTTTAAAGATGTGACCAGTGTCTTCTGGTGTGGCAAGAGGCAAAGTCAGAAGTAAGCCTCAACAATGATCTCAGCCCTCAGAGCCTTGACTGATATGTGACAGTGAATATTTCTTTCAAGCAATATTAATGTCAGAGTTACTTCTGTGTCACTTTTATAGAATTAGGTGACTCCCATAAACATGTTTGATTTTTTTCTTTTTGTGTAGTCTTCCGTACACCAGCAAACTTGTGAAAACTTTGTTATATAACTTCATCAGACAAGAAAAGCCTCCTCCTCCAGGAGCCCATATTTACCCCCAGCAGTCAGATGGGGGAGGACTGCTTTATGGACTGGCATCAGGAGTAGCAAGTAAGTCCTATAAGATTTTTTCAATTCTTTTTGTGTATACATTTAATCAGGAATAACAAATTCTGTTCTTTTGACTGCCATCTTCAACAGTTATGTTGGATTTGTGTATTGGGTAAGTGTGAAATAATGAAAATAACTAAAATATTACTCTTTCCATTCTGTGCAGTGATTTATATTAAATACATGCAGATAATGAATGTATTATTTATCTATAAAGCACCATTCTTCAAGAACAATGTTTATGCATACATATCTATATTTTATGAGTTCTGGCTATACAGTAAAAATAAACTTAAACCTTTTAAAATAAGTTTAAACTTCTTACTGCTTTGGTTATAAAAGACCTTTGGGGGGCTGGGGTTGTGGCTCAGTGGTAGAGCACTTGCCTAGCATGTGCGAGGCGCCGGGTTCAATCCTCAGCACCACATAACAATAAATAAAATAAAGGCATTGTGACCAACTACAACTAAAATAAATAATTTTTTTTTTTTTAAAGACCTTTGTATTTTAGAGTCTTTATTGGTTGGGATTTTATATGGCCAATTGAGTTTAGTTTTTCTATTATATTTAGTGCTCCATTTTATTCAGTGACAAATTAGCACATTTGAAGAATTTGTAATAAACTCTGAAGTAGTTACAAATTTGAGTTTTTTCTGCTTGGGAAAAAGTGTCGTAGCTGAAGAAAGTCCTTTTTTCCCTACCACATAGGAAGTTCTCATTTCTGCTTCACAGGGTTCAGACCTGAGGACATGAGAAGCACCAAGTACCTCTGGTCCTCCCCTTTGTTAGCTTGGGGATCCCAGGTCATATGAGGTTACAACACTGAACTTTTGCTTTATTCTGAAGGATAAATAAAAAATAGAGTGATACTTTAGCAGTTGTCAGGTCTACACAGTGTGCAGTATACTCACTTTAATTAGAGTGCAGGGTCCAGATGAAGCTGGTTTCTACAGTGGAGTTGTGGTCATGGCATGCTCTCCATACTCAGGCAGGACATCAGTGTAATAGGAAAAGGCAGTACTGTGCAATAACTTATTAGATAATGAATGTTGGTAACTTTTTGTTAAGAAATGGTAAACTTGGCGAGTGCAGTGGTACATACCTGTAATCCCTGTGGCTTGGGAGGCCGAGGCAGGAGGATTGCAAGTTTGAAGCTAGCCTCAGCAACTTAGAGAGACCCTAAGCAACTTATTGAGACCTTATCTTAAAATTAAAAAGGGCTGGGGATGTATCTTAGTGGTTAAAAACAAACAAACAAATAACAAAACAAAACCCTTCTGGGTTTGTTTTGTTGATTTAAGAAATTGATCAGTAGACTAGACTTTCTAGATTTGTCCTCCTTTGATTTCTCTTAATATTGTGAACTTAAATACATTGTGATCACTGATGCCCTTGTCTTTGGTGTTGAGCAGCCTGCTTAGAATGCTGTACCTGCATTACCCAATGCCGGTCTGTATTATTTTAGACAAGGAAGCTATGTACAGCTCATCCATAAGCTGAAAGGCAAAGGCAACACAAGAATGGCTTTTTGTGTCCCATTGGAAGACTTAATTGATCTGTTAGTATTTTCAATTCTTTTTTTTTTTTTTTAAATCATTGTTATGTTTTAGATCTGAAATGTCCCCCAAAGACTCATGTCAGCACATGAGTTCAGTTCCTAGCTGATGCTGTTGGGAGGTGGTAAAGACTTTGGAAGGAATGGCCTACTTAGAGGAAATAGGTTACTGGGGACATGTTCCTGAAGCATGTGTTTTGTCCCTGACCCCTTATTCTTTCTCACTGTTTTCTGGCTGCCATGAGGTGAGCACCCTCCTTTGCATCATCCTCCCACCACCGTGATGTACTTCATCATCACAGGCCTAAAAGTAAATGGGCCACCCATGGACTGAAACTTCCAAAACCACCAGACAAGATAAATCTTTCCTTCTTTTTAGTTGTTTATCTTAAACATTTTGTCACAGCAACAGAATGCTAACAGAGTCGGTAAGCTGGTATTTAAAAGTGACCATTTTTAATATTTAGGCTTTAGGGGGAATGTTATAAGTTTATTATCTGCTTTCTTTAAGGCAGTGATAATACATAGCCAGTTTCTTTTTTAAAGTAAACAAATGTGTGTAGTTTTTGATTTTTCGTTCAGTTATGTATTGTATTAGGTTATGTGTTGTGTTGTATTAGGTAGATGCCCAGTATTGTATGTGGTGTCATTAGTATTTTGGGTGCCAAAAAATATGAATTTAAAATTTTGGATTTGTTTTTAATCAGTTAGCAGCATATCATAAGGAGGTTATCATATTATTAGCATATAATTCTAATTTTCCTAACTATTTCCTTGCCTATTGAGTGAGAAGATTGATTGGGATAATGATCTATGAGGTTATTTCTAAAATAACTTTTAAAGATTCTCTGGTATTTTTTTCACTGTTTTAAAATTTAGTAAGGAATTAAAATAGATGTATGTTTTATAGCGGGACATTTTGCCTGGTTCTCTTCCTAAATCTTCATAAAACTATTCATGTAGAAGCATAAATCAGAATGGAATAATTATGGATTCATTATTTTACAGTATGTGAGTCAAAACGTAATAAAAAAACAACAAAGGACATACTATTAAAAAATGCAGCTATGTACTGTCAGCAAAATAAAATTTAAGAACTATCACAGTCATGTAATTTTGAATTCAACTACATTTTAGAAATATCAGTTACACTGACAAAATTTAACTTTCGTCATGTGCTCACTTTTGATGATTTTTTAGTTGGTAATTAAGGAATTTCTTACATTAATATTAGCTTGTGTTATGGTTTGGATATGAAGTGTCTTCCAAGCTCATATGTAAGACAATGTAAGATTGTTCAGAGGGGAAATTATTAGATTATTAGAGCTGAAAACTAGTCAGTGGGTTAACCCATTAATAGGTTAACTGGGTAGTAACTGCAGGCAGGTAGGGTATGACTGGAGGAGGTGGGTCATTGAGGGGGCGTGCCTTTGGAATTTATATTTTGTTCTTGGTGAGCAGAGCTCTCTGTATTTCTGATTGTCTGTCCTGAGCTGCTTCCCTCCTTCACACCTTTCGGCCAGGACGTTCTGCCTCACCTTGGGCCAGAGCAATGGAGCCAGCCATCTATGGACTTCGACCTCTGAAACTGTGATTCCCAAATAAACTTTTCTTCCTTTAAAATTGTTCTTGTCAGGTCTTTTGGTTATAGTGATTATAAAGCTGACTAAAACAGCTTATGAAATATATGATTTGGAAGTTTCTCACAGAAAAAAATTATATTTAAAAGCTAAATGTAAATTTCAAATTTATTTGGATTACATTCATTTTTGTTGTGATTGAATTTTCCCTGGGCATAGAAAGCATTTCCTTTCATAGCAATTTCTGCGTTGTATGCTTTGCTTAAATTGTCCCTTTTGAAACAGAGTCTCGTATTTCAAAAAACAGTCTTGGATAGTGAAGTTTTATTGGCACCAGCCATGGGAAGAGGAGAAACCTGGTGATAGAACTGGGGTCCAGATGAGTCGCGAGCCACATACCTGGAGCCTCCCAAGTCAGGCAAGACCTTTTGTAGTTTCTTCTCATTCACTTTTACAGAAGTATTTGTGGTCGTACTGCTGTTTTTTTCCCAGGCCCTAACGTTTTGTTACTTCTTGCTTCCTGACATTCTCTTAGTATGTCTTTGCTTGAATTATTTCAGTAGTCTTGCATCCTAGTTCCTCCTCTCACTGACTTCAGTTTTCTGCTCATCCATCTCTTAAAGTCCATTTTGAGTACCACCTTCTCCATGAAGACTTCCTTTGATGTCTGTGTGGTTGTTTTCTGTGGAACCTGTCACTTGATTTTGATTATATTTACATACATATGTGCCTTATTCTCCCTATATTGTCTCTTATGTACAATAAAATGAGAGCTAACATTTGTATAACTCTTCTGCGTATATAAGAGAACTCTTTAAACGCTTGCTTTATTCTCATAGCAACCTCATCTATATGAAATAGGCTATTCTATTTTTTTTTTACAGTGTCATGACCACCTGAGTTCTGAGCTACTTCTTGGCACTACAGTGTCCAGCAAAGCACCTTACATCTATGGATTGTCAGTTAATACTAAAATGTAATTATACGCTAAAAGCCAATACTTGTCTACACTTGAGAGTCATGTGACTCAGTTGTAATAAAAGTGTCTATCATTTATTGAATACCTTCTGTTTGCTAGGCACTATAGTAGCTACCTTACCTACATGATTTTATCTACTGTTTTCTTTTTTTCATGTTTTTGTATATAAAATAAAGATGAACAGAAGTAGACAGAATGATAGAATGAACTCTCATTTACCCACAACCTGTCTTACGGAATGGTCAACATTTTGCTGTTTTTTTTTTTTTTTTTCATTTATCTCCTTCTTTGTACATTAAAAAGGAACACCCTTTTATTTGGATATAATTTTATAAACTTAGAAAGGTTTCAAAAATAAAATGTTAAAAAACCCCTATGTGTATCTTTATCAAGATTGATTTATGTTGGCATTTTATCCCCTCGTTTTGTCATTGTATTCTCTTTGTTTTTACATGTGTGCGTGCACGCACGCGCACACACACACACACAGACAGAAACACACACAATTTTTTTTTTAACCGCTTAAGGGCAAGTTATCTATACCATGGCCCTTTACTTCCTCAATTCTTCAGTGTACTTATAGTCTAGAAGGGGATGCTTCTTACTTAACTACAGCATATTTACCAACTTCAGTGAGTTTAACATTTCACTACCCTTAAATACAGGTGAGTTAGGGAATTTGTTTTTACTTCAGTAAAAATAAAGAAATAAAGATTTTTTTCTCTGTATTTTAAAATCTCCTCTATTAAGTTACAATCATTTGTGTTGCATTGAAGTTGAATTTTTATGATTAGGTTTTCCTCTAACTATCTTAGACTAAAGGCTCCATGGCGCATCACAAGTCTTTCTTCTTTCTGTTGTCGGGACTCCAGTGTGCAGGGAGTCC